CATTCCGATGACCCTGCACAACTAGATTTAAAAAACCTAAATTAACCATTTCTTTCTCATATCAGAACCATCCACTTGACGCCTCACCATAATTTGTCCATACCCACCAAATTTTAGCTCAAAATTCCCTCATTTGACCCGCCATCAAGCCTAAATCCTATTTCAACAAATCTTATTGATTAGAGCTTATCATCCATCTTCCCAACTTCATTTGACCAATCAGACCTCCTCACTATGTTTGGAAACCCAAAAAACCCTAGCGCGTCAAATTTCACGACCAAACTCCTCCATTTGACCATTAAAAAAGTGAGATTCCATTTCGGACTGTCTCATTAACTGATAAGCCATTGACCCAAACCAAATCTATCAATCTATACCTTTGATCAAAGATCCATCACTTCCATCAAATTCAAGAAGCTCAAAATTGCCTACCCACCAAATTTCACCCAAAATTCCCACATTTGACCCTTCATTAAGCAAAGATTCTATTTCAACATATCTCATTGATCTGAATTTGTCAACCATAGATCTCCATCATCCCGACCCTATTTGGTCAATCAGACCACACCACTATGTTCAGAGACCCAAAAAAAACCCAACACGTCAAATTTTATGACCTAATTCGCCCGTTTGACCATTAAACTAGGAAAATACCATTTTGACACGCCAGATTGAATCACCACCTCATCTTTCCCAATCTGAAACCTCAAAAGTGTGATGGCTGATGTCAAACCCATTCTTGACGTGTTCAAACACTTGGACCAGTGAAATTGAGCCAACTAAACCCAAAAATCCCCAAAACCCAAAGATGCCCCCACTTAAAACTAAGGTTCAAAGTATTGATACGTATCGGCCCGTATCAACCAATACGTATCATGCCGGTGGCTTCCCAATACGCCCCTACAGGGGTTGTATCGGGTCAGCCACTAGTTTAGAGGGTAGTCAGGCCTTAAACTGACCCCTTTTAACCGATTTCAAAAAAAAATAATAAGTAAAACTAAAAAAAAGCACCGACACAGGCCGATACGCCCTACCGGCGTATCAACCAATGCCGACACTTTGAACCTTGCTTAAAACTAAGAAAAGACAAAGCCACTTTTAAGAGTTCATGAAACTTGCATTTTCTGCCACTAACAGCCCCAAATACGAAACTGTCATGATAGGCACACCCCAAGCTGCCATTGGATGCACAAAACCCACAAAAACCACCCCCAAATCGAAGAAAACCATTCACCAAAGAAGAAGGTTTGACCAAGCACCATTTTCTTTGAAAAATCTTTGCCTATTTATGTAAAAAATCTCCGTTGAATCCCAAGCACTGTGGTTAAACAAGTTTTAGACCTCTTCTTCTCCCTTCCTCTATAAATACAGACCCAACTCAAGCATTGAAAAAAAGGGAGGAATCCTGAGGGGGGCTTTTAAGAGAACTTTGGGTGTGGATCTGAAGATTAGAGATCTTAGAAGCACTCCCAACCTCTATAAAACTCCCATCCATGAGAAACCCCCAGATATCTGAACCTTAAACTTCAAAACCACCATCTGTGTTTTAGATCTGAAATTTTCCCAAAATCCCCAAGCATTCGTCCATATCAAACCTCTATTGAGTCCATTCAACTACTCTTTTGATCAATTTGATTGTTGAAATATCACAGTCAAGGTTACATACGAGAGGTAAGCCTTTCACCCTATCTGTAGCTCGAGTCTGTGCTTTTTGTGTTGCTTGAAGTTCTGAGAAATTGGAGAACCATTGTTCTCGACTTCTTCTAGACTGAGAATAGAGACAAAGAGGCGAGGGTTTTAGGGAAGTCAGTACTTAAGACCCGATAACATCACCTCAAAATCAGTCTTAGGAGAAGTTGAGAGCACGTTTCTCCAGATTTTAAATTTCTAACAACTATTTCTGTTGTTTTTCACATGAAATAAACCCTAAACAACTCCCGTATTGGGCTGCTACAGCAACTTGGAGAGAGGGGTGCCTAACACCTTCCATCTCCCAATCCTTAAGATCCAAAATCTCTCAATTAGGTGCCTTTCCTAGTGAAGAACGGAATCACTATCAAAACAAGTAAATCGACTTTTGAATCTAAAAATGAGGGCTCATTTCCTCTAAAAAATGGGTGGTGACTCCATTTCTTTGAGCCGGCCATGAGTTTCCCGAAGCTCACAATGGGGTTGGTTACATGAAGCCATTTGACCATTCTCACTACTTCAAATCATACCCTGTTTGTTCTGCCAAAAGACCTTCTAGACCTTTCAACTTGCAACAAGTCACTTCTCACTGATATTGAAGATGATCTCTGAACATAACCAAACCATTTGAATCTGCTTTCCATCATTTTGTCATCTGTTGGAGCTAATATTAAGTTCCTCCAAATAAGTTCATTATGATCCTATCATTTCTAATTTTCCCCTCATCCAATTCAGCATTTGCATTACTCAAACTCATTTTTCAGACATTTTGTTACTTTCCAGGAGTCTTCCATACAAAACTACGGTGGCCTTGTAACCATTACATTAAAATTTTCTTTCAGCATAATTGGTATTCTCCTATCACATAGGACTCCACTCTGTCCTAGTTTTATGGGTAAAATTTTCCCCTCCTCCTAAATCTATCCTTCTTATAGATTATTGAACCAAAGTAACGAAAAAGGTTACATTGAGCTATCTCTTGGTCTCCATTGCTAAGTGAAGTAGCGAACCTTGATCTCCACTCTTATTATTATTAAATTTACATTGCATTTTGTTTTAATCCTAATTATTTTAAAACCTCTTGTTTCCAAGACATTCACCCAAGAACTTAATTTTGCATATAATCTCTAGTTTCAACAAATACTATGTCATAGAAAACAAGCTTACATAGATATAAGCACGTATATTTAAATTCGAAGAAACAGATAGAACTTGCAGCCCTAGTATGATCTATGAAAGGATAAATAAATGCTAATACGTAATGAAGAAACTAAAACATTAGATTATTCTATTTACCACCATTGCAAAAGTACAATCATAATAGCATAAATATTTACAAAAAAAAAATGCAAGTACAACTGAATTTACTAAACCCAACAGTTCTCTTACAACATAACAACAAAAGAACCATTAGTTGTTATTTCTAGTCATCATGTACAATAATGCCTTACCAGATTCTTGCTTCCAGCTTTTCACATTCATAACATACTAATTGTTTGCTAATTGAAAACTGAATTTCAAAAACTGTTGAACTTGATGTGAATAATAGAACTTGCAAAATCATTTAAAAAACATTTGACCGCATACTATTTGAGATATTCAGATATACAACAGAAAACAGTCTCATGAACAATTAGCACAAATAAAAATAGCAGAGCGAAATACTTGAGTTGCAAAATGCAAAAAATTTAATTTATTTTATTCATTTCTTTAAGAAGTGTGATGAAAAATGAAATGGAATCTTACTTTGGATGTTGCAGGGGCTTCTTTAGAGATATTAGAAGGATGTAATCGCAAACTCTGTATCTTCCTTCGATAAGCCAGCTCTCTTTTGATTGCAAGTTCCAATGGCATAATGTTCTCCCTGATGCTTTCTTTAGTCTCTTCCTTTATAGTCGTTTCTTCTCGCAAACTCCCATGCGAAAGATGACTCTCAACTAATTGCAGGTTCATCATTCTACTTGACGATCCAGAATCACATGACAATGGCTGGGGCGCAATATTCTTTGGTAGTATCGGCTCATCTCTAGAGAAGTGCCAATCTAGCTGTAGAATATGGGAAATAGCAGAAGCTGCAGAGAACCAACAAAGTTGATTAGAAGCTAGGCAATGTTATCCCCCAATTTTCATGTCCTACTAAAAACACAGATGCCTCAAATGGGAGGTAACAATATATAGTCCAAATGTAAAGATCAGAAAGCAATTGGTGCATGCATGAGTATTTCCGTGTAAACCATAGGCTTAATTCCAAATTTCTGCAGTGAAAATGTAAGTCTGGCGACGCGATTCGAGTGCAAAGGTGATACTCGTAGAGGTTCAAACTACGAAAGACAAAACTGTCACAAATAAAATGATGAAGCCATCGCCAGGGATTGAAACCAATAATCAGAAAAATGGAGATGATTCTTCTACAAACAACAGCGGTTAAGCAATAATCGAAACGAGGGGCTACAAAATTGGTGTGAAGAACAACCAAGAAACGATGAATAAGAGCAAGGTTCAATAAGCTCGAAATTAGAGTCGGCATTACCTTGCGATGGTTCAACTGTCGTTTTACCCTGTTGCTTCAATAAGCTCGAAAACTTACGGCCTTTATCCTTATCACAGGCTCTGAACTCCATTGAGAGCCACGGATAGAAACTTAAGAAGCTGAAACCCTAGTCTCTAATGTGCGAGCGTGAGTTGGGAATTGAGGAAACAAAAACCATTCGAATTTTCGAAGTTGGTTGTTATATAGTTAAGTTTTGGGAGAAGGCAGATTTTCGCGGGCTGTAACTGTAGTCCCTCTTGTACCGAGATTTGCTGCATCTGACTGCGCTGCACTTGTATATACTCCACGACAAATGTCCCATTACTCAACTGCCAGACACAGCGTGCCACAGCATACATTCCCGCCGTATATTGGGAACATGATGTTTCTAATACACGGCGGAAGTGTGCTGTGGGACGTTGTGGGGGCAGTCTTGTGGGGAGTCCCAGTCTAGAAATTCTGGTTCTGGAATTAAAAACTCGAAGGCAAACTCAATGAATTCATTTTTTGAATTTGGCCGGATCCTGGATTCAATCAAGCCTCAGTGGCGAAATATCGAAGACTACATCCTTTACATTTGGCTGTCTGACATTTATTATTTACAGAGTTACAGTTGAATCAAAGAATTAAACTTTCGTCTCAACTAATGGAAAAACACAAACAAAAGGTCTTCTGTATGATCAAAATTTGTAACTTCTTCACAAAAATGAATGAAGAATGCATGTGTATCATATCTGTGTTACATGAAAGGAAAAAAAAAAAAAAAATTGTGTACAAAATTTCAAATATTGTGAATTAATGAATAATTTCAGGCACCAGACCAGGCCTTTGCTACATGCTAGCAGCTGGAAATCTTGATCAACGTGGCTAAAACCTGCTTCATATTCGGTCTCTTGTGGGGCGCCTCCGACGTGCAGCGCAAACCAATCCTCAGCAACTCACACATCTCCAGTGCCCCTTCGGCAAGCCCAGATCCTAGAACCACCACCGGAACCATGGTTCCGTCCACCTCTGGCCGTCCGTCCCCAATAACCCTTCTGGCCCACTCAACCAGGCACTCTTCCCCTCCATCAACAGCCCGCCTTGCAGTCGCCAACTCCATGGCCAGTACTCCAAAGCTGTACACATCGCCCTTGGTCGTCGCCTTCCACGTCTGCCCATACTCCGGTGCAACATACCCCACTGTTCCGGCCACCATTGTGCTCACATGGCTCTCCCCAGCACTGACCACCCTGGCTAGCCCGAAGTCCGTCACATGTGCCTTGCCATGTTTATCAAGCAACACATTGCTGGCCTTCACGTCCCGGTGTACAATCGGCGGGAAGCACTCATGGTGCAGAAATACCAGAGCCCGAGCCACACCAATGGCCACTTCAATCCGCCTCTGCCATGTCAGTCTTGTCCTGTCGGACACAAGATCCTCCAAGCTCCCACCTTCCATGTACTCATAGACCAGTAGCTTCTCTGACCCATAAAGGCACCACCCATAAAGCGTTACAAGATTAGGGTGCGGCCACCCAAATCCATTGCCGCTCAATACCTCCATTTCTGCCCGGAATTCTCTCTCTCCTTCGACACCTTCTCTCTGTAGCTTCTTCACTGCTACATCTCTCCCATCAGGCAAGACGCCGCGGTACACCGTTCCAAACCCACCCTTACCTAATATCCTCTCCGCAGAAAAGTTGCCGGTGGCCGTGAGTATATCGGCGTATGTAAATGCCGTTTTATCTAATCGGATAACCTTGACGGAATCCGATGTCCCTGATGATAGTGCACAAGAGGAACACGACACCTTGTCATGCCTGTGCTCTGTATCCTCCAGCAAATACCCCGACGACTCAATCGGATCTCTAACCATTGTGTAAACGATGACGGAAAAGATTCCGCATATCAAGAACGCCATGGTCAAGACTAGAAAAGCGAAAAATATTGCTTTACTCATGATCGGTTTCTTCGGCCTCTCCATGGTCTTTCCATCCCCCTGTTTGCCTGGTATGGTTTTGTTTATGAAAGCTGGGAGACGTAGAAGTGGGTCACCAAGGAACGACTCCTCTTCAAATGTTGCCAATTGTCCCGTGGACGGGATTTCACCAGAGATGAATGGATTGTATGAGACATTGAATTTGTTCAGCTCGTTCAAACCATTCAAGCTTGCCGGAAACTCCCCCGAGAAATTATTGTAAGACAAATCGAGATTCTGTAAGCACTTGATTTGCCCGATTTGCATTGGAATTTCACCAGAAATTTTGTTGTGGGAGATGTTAAGAACTACAAGAGGCAACTCTGCAATCTCCCGTGGGAGTTCTCCAGAAAATGCATTCATTCCGAGATGGAGGAGACTGAAATTCTTCATCTCACCAATTTGTGGAGGAACTCCGCCTGAAAACTGATTTCCACTTAACTGGAGATAGCCTGATATCTGAAATGTCCAAACTACTGAATTACCAGCACAGATTGGGAAAAGGCCATGCCCTTTGAGTAATCGATTCCAAATGCTTCCACAACTCTTCCCAGTGAGGATTGTATATACAAAGCTGAAAGGCGGATAGTCTGCTGGAATCCATCTCTTCATCGCCAGACATTCACCGGAACCAACTATGACTCCATTGGACTCTCTGTTGGACTTGAATGTTGGAGTGGCATTTCGGCCAATATGTGCCAATTCCGGTGGGATGCACCCAGATAATCGGTTGTTGGCAAGGTTTAGCCATAACAAGCTACTGCAATTTCCGATCTCCCGAGGAATTGCTCCTGTTAGTGAATTGTTTGCAAGCATCAACCATAAGAGAGAACTCAACTTTCCAATCGTAGAAGGAATCTGTCCAGTTAGTCTATTGAATGAAAGGTCAAGCGCTTGGAGAAGTGGTAAGTTTCCCAATTCTGGTGGTATACAGCCAGAGAATTGATTGAAGGCAAGGATCAAGAACTTTAGTTTCGGCATTGCAAAGAATTCAACCAATAACGGCCCAGAGAAATTGTTGTAGCTGAGGTCTAATCGACTTAGATTCGGCAATTTGAGGATTCCTGAAGAGTGTATTCCTCCTGTATATGAATTTCCATGCAACAAAAGAAATTGCACCTGCTCAAGTTTTCCAAATATATTCTGTATATCTCCTCTAAACCCATTTTTGCTAAGGTCCAGAAATGTTAACCTGCTGCAATTTATCAATGATTCTGGAATTTCTCTTGAGAAATTGTTCCTTCCTAACACTAGAGCTTCAAGGTTTGACAGCAGTCCAATCTCTGGGGGAAGCTTTCCTGTGAAATTATTTCCCCACAAATTCAAATATACCAAATCTTTGCACTTGGAGATTTCTTTCGGAACTTCGCCAGAGAAGTAATTTTCTGATATGTCTATATATTCTAGACTACAATTCTCGTTGAAGATGGATGGTGGAACTTCTCCACCTAGTTTATTCTCGGACACCACGAACTTTCTCAGCCTTGAAAACTCAAACGAGAAATTTCCACTGAAACCATTCGAGCTGAGATCAACATGCTGCAAGCTCCAACAATTGTCAAAGCAATTATTAATGCTGCCAGTGAGGTTATTTGCAGAGATGTTGAGAACGACTAATCTGTCGCATATTGCAGGAAAACTTGATTGAATTTCACCATGGAGTCTATTAACGGATAGATCCAGTGTCTCTAGGCTGGTGAGTCCAGTCAAGTTCAAGTCTCCTTCAAGGATGTTATGAGAGAGGTTTAGATATCTAAGCTTTTTGCATCGACTCAAATCAGCTGGAATTGGACCGTCAATGGTGTTCTTGGAGAGATCAAGCTCTGAGAGTTGGGTTAAAGCAGAGAAGTGTTGAAAGATGCCCCCAGAAATGTTGTAGTAAGAGAGATTGACTCCGGTAACTCGTGCCCCATTGCAAGAAATTCCCGGCCAAGAACAAGGAGATGAACTTCTGTTCCATTCAGTGTATGGACCTTGATTTACCGGATTGTTTTCTATGAGAAACTTCTTCAGCCGTAGCAAAACTTCCTTGTCAGTCTGTAGAGAAACAGAAGCCACTATCCGACCTGTTTGGAGGAATTAAACTCAATAAGCAAATCACTAACCAATAGAAAATTTTCAATCTAAGTTCTATCTAGAAAGCTTCAGTCTATTGGGTATAACCCGACCCTCTTTGATATGAATATTGGATTTATTAAAATACCCCTAGTGTTTATAATATCTTAATAATAGAATTTGTTGTTGTAAGGCATATTGGTGTATGTATCATACTATTATGTGTTGAATTTTATAGTGTTTTAAATCTTATATGTAAGATAATTGATAGTTTTAATTGAATAATTGGAAATTTTGATATTTATTTATATTATTCATTAAATAGGTATAACAGAAAATAACAAAAAAAGAATCATATATGGATTTTGGACCCAACTGGTTTCACCCTCAAATGCGGGATGATGGAATTAAGAAGGATTTTACATTTTTATGTTTGAGTAGGGTTTGGATTTTGAAACTGTAATACAGAGGGATGGATTGGGAGGTTGAGATGAATTAGAAAAAAAATTCCAAATCGACCCTGTTGCCATCCAATTCTGACACGTGTCATTGTTTTCATTTTTGTATAGCAACAGTAAGAAAATTATCCAAAACGGGCCTCAGATCAAGGGACTGAGGGAGAGATAGATGGGATTGATCTGATACCAATTCTATGGTGGTTCCTTCACAAAAAAGAAATGGGATACTTGGACGGAGAAAACAACGAGAGAAACGGGTGGAAAGAGAGGGAATAGCATTCGTCTGATCTTGTTTCAGCTCGGATCTGAAAATTTGAGCACCGCAGTACTCTGTTTCCCTGCGTCAAACTTGATACGCAGATTTTCATTCGGATTCCACCGTCTGGAACGGAAAAAAGAAAAGAAATCTGCCCAGATAAACAAAGGGAATCTAGGCAAGAGGTTGGATAACTTGGATTAGATCAAATAGTAAGCGATTGATATGGCCACGAGACGACACTCTTGACTCTATCCCCCGACAAGCGAAGCGAATATTACCAGAGACTCGGATGGTCTCGGCTTTCGTGCGGACTGATTCTTTTGCTATTAAATCTGATGAGGATCGTAACACAGACGAACTCGCATATCGGTTGGGAACCGCCAACTTCTCCGCCTCCCTGACAAGTCGTATATAAGTTTCCCCTGCACCACCGCAAACCGTGATTTGTTGTAACGCAGACGGGTGCAAGGGGTTTCAGTGGATGGTTTCCAGCTCAGATGGATGACAAAGCCGGCCGCCACCGACCAAACGGAAGCAATTCGCATCAGAACTTACTAATTAATACAGGACATACCCAGAATAAGAAGAAACGGAAAACGTATGAAGAAAAGGCATTAAACCAGAAGCAGCATGTTAAGTTAGTGCATGCTTCATGATGATGGAGCTTATTTATTCTTAAATTATATTACAAACTTCGTAGTATAACTCTGGTATTACTATTATCAAAGGATGAATCTTTCGCCGATCAAGCTAGAAGAACTTAAAAATTGAAAAGAGAGAGAAAGAGAAACTTCGATACATGCCTGTAAACAGTATTAAGGAAAATAGTAATAAGAAACGCCACTCTGTTTCTCCTTCTCTCATGATCCGTCCTGTCCCCTTCTTCCTTTTCTTCTTCTCTTATTCTGCCTTCCCTTCTTCAACGTCGGGTCAGCTCCAACCCCTCAAGATTTTTCATCGAATCAGCTTCCAAAATTCTTACACGAATTTCAGAGATTCCAACGTTTTGGAATGTCGTTGAAGCAGAATAGGCTGAATAGCCTGCTCGCTGCTAACCAAGCTTGGAGGAAACGCTCGACGTTCGTCGTTTAACTTTATTTTCTTGAATTTTTTTTTTTTGAATTTTTTAAATTTTAATCTCCAGCCTTTAATTACTAATAAGTTTTTCTATTGTTGATGTCTTGATGGTGCTAAAATATTGTCAACACCGGATACTTTGGTCGCAGTTTCAGAAGAAGTTGCGGACGAACCGCCCATGTTGACCCTTTTTCGGCTCGGACTGGTTTTTGCATTCAAATCAGCTGACAGCTTCCTGAACAAGACTCGGGACGGATCGGACTGATGAACTGATAAAACCGTGAACCGGTGGGAATTCCGGTTTTACGTCCGGTCTGAGCCTCAAAATTGCTAAACGAGCGGTCTTGGTCTAATAAAAGGATAGTGTGGACGCAAGATTTGTTTACAGTAGATGACGGGTAGAAGAATGAGAGAAACATTTTGGTTGAGAAGAGGAGGAATAGAAACGCTTTGAAAGTTGAAACGTGAGGCCCCCGCAAGCATGTGATTGAGCTTGGGCCCACCTCTGTTTTGAGTGTGAATGAGCAAGACGGGGTTTCTGTAGTTTGGGCCGTATGGATTGGGGCACCAGACGGTCCAGGCCCACTCCTGGGTCCTCTCTTCTGGTCTTCTCTCTGTCTCTAGTCAAGCGTATGCTTAACACCAGCGCAAAGAGTGTTGACTTGTGATTGAACAGTGATGAGCGCGTGAACCAACAAATGGGGGAGGGCTCATCGCTTCTGATGCTGCGCCGATTCACCTAATCGAACAGTGATTAGCGCCTGCGCCGCGGCTGTTCAAGTCAAGACTCAAGATCTGACCCAGCAGGGTAATGAACTAATGATTGAAGCACAGTTGCACAATGTATGTGCGCATATTTTATCAAACACCTACGGTGGTGGTCGGCTTGAAGTGGTGGGTCCCAATAAAAGAGGCTTTCCCAACTTCCCATCTAAAAAATTTTGTGGTGGATAGGCTGTAAATAGATCCAAGGGCGCACATTGAAAAGGATGGATCCAGGGTGCACAGCATAGTAACCTGGGTCTCTCACCCTGTATTAATTGTGCATCAACCAATCAACCGACCAAATTGTGTATATTATAAAGATATAGAAAGGGCTTCATTTCAATTCATTGACTAATCAGAAGGATCTCTAATTGTGGAATAAAACCCTAAGAAAAACGATATTCAAAGGCAAAAACAAAAGGAAGAAAAAGAAAGCCAAGATGTTTTCATGGTCCCTTAGTTTAAGCATGAAGTCTCCCAGTTTATACGTGTGCGCGTGCGTTTATTTAATATGAATTTAAAATGGTCAAATAAAGACGATGATTTCTACATTTGTTGGCCTGGGCCCATCCATTTGCTAATGATTTTGTTTATCAATTTAATTAATTTAACATGTAAATAGAAGTCCAATGAGCCAGAGTATTCCTCTATCTTCTCTAACCTCAGATGGGTTTCCTATATTATATACACGTGTGCATGAATTTGTTTATGGTTATCTTATGACATCACCCTCACATAAGCACAGAATCTGCTTATGTGAGGGTGAGATCAAGACTCAAGAGTCAAGACCAGAGCAGGGAAGCGAAAATTGGTGCAGCATTCTGCATTCCTCTCTACTACACACTCTGGACTGAGGTCAAGCTCCTCTGCAACATTTTTTTTTCCCCTTTCTTTGAAAAGAAAGAGAACTGGTGCAGAAAATTCAACTATTGACACGTTGTCTCCACATAAGCATGACATTTTTGAATCATTTCTCTGAGGAAATATCCTCATTGAAAAATCTTTTGTTTTGAACTTCATCTCCGCAATATTTTGCGTTCAATGGAGTAGCTTCTGAGTTCTTTTACCAGATTCACGTAAGCAAGCAATGAGCAACAGGATAACAAGTGGAAGCTGCTCCAATCAAACCCAGTTCTAGAATGATACTACTTTTGGATTGCTGTGTTCACATGACACGTGCATTTTATCTGTTTGTCAATTGTCAATATAAATTTAGAAACCCNCCCCACCGCACACCCTCACCTACCCACCCACCCACAAATATCTGAATTTCAATTTACAATCTATACGGTTTAGAAGACTTCTCATCTGTAGACAGCACTCAACAGGAATTAGTGGAACCTCCTCTCCCCTCTCCTGGGTCAATAATCGACCCAAACGATTGTGTCCGTACATCTGAAACTCCCTACTAGGACAAAACATATTTCATAACTCCTTTGGCATAGCTTCATGATATTGCCTACCTACAAGCTAATTCTGCTTAAAACTTTGGTGGCCTACCAATTCCCAAGTATTGACCAAGTGACCCATCCAATTGCAGTAATGATGGACCTGGACCTAAGCCCTCTCCATTTCCGGTGGAGACCACCGGCCTAGAGGAGGGTAGCCCACCCATAACACCCCACCCCCTCAACCCTGGTGAAGGCGGGATTCAATCCCAAGTACCCACTAGCAACTGAGCTAGTTGGGACCTACAAAATCAGGTGTTTGTAAAATCTCACGTTGAGATGACGTTTACAAAACACCTTGTGAAAATATGCTTGCAAAACCTCTTTTCAGCATATTGGTTTCAGTTTTTTAGTTTTATTCAGCGTGTGTTTTGTTTCATAGGAGTTTATTAAAATACTATCATGTCACCGTAAAATCAGCATTTCTTCCATCATATTCATCTGTGTGTTGATATTTATAAAAGTGGATTTTTATTTATGTATACGTCAATCATTGGGAGAAGATTTATTTTAATGCTTCCCTCGACAATTAAACATTTATTCACTATTCCGCTGATGTGGCGCCTAGTTGTCCATAAATAGTTTATCAAGTACTTTTCTCAGTTTTGAAGACTAATCAGGTACAAACCATAGATTTCAAAACCAGACCAGACAGGAAAAACCAAGAACCGATCAAGTGACTAGTTCTGTTTTACCCCAGAACCGCTCTTTTGTCAAAAACCGTTGATTTGGTCAGCAAACGACTATCATGGGCAGTTGAATCGTTTGAACCATCCAACGGTTTGGCCGTTTTTATTTATTTTTTATTTTTTATCAAAACGGATCATCCATTTGATTTGAACTATTGAACCGTTAGACCCAGAAACTGGACCCCTGACCAGTTCATTGTCCGGTTCGATTTATTTAATAAACAGAAGCTATACCAGACACATACTCTACCAATAAATCTGGGAAAGCACACTTTTGTTGCTCATTTCTGCAAATCAAGAAGTCACAAACAAGTTTTGCTGATATGGCCTCCTCAAAAATTGCAGAAATGGGCAATGCTTCTGTTCAAAAATGGCATCCAAAAAGACCTGCCGTGTTGGCCATGTGATTATGTATCTATATCTATCAGCTTTCAAGTAGGGCTGATGTGGATAACACAGTACAAATCGACCCAAACAAGAAGCCAAGTCTCCTAATGAATAGTTTTTCTTACGTGTTGGCCAGGAAAGGGTTCCAAGACAAGAAATCCTACATGACCCGTACCAAAAGTCCTATTCTGTAGAATATAATATACCCCATATTTAATTGGTCCAAAAGGTAGTTGCAAGGCAACTTGGAAAAGAATGGGCGGCCTACGGACCACACAGCCCTATTGAACAGTAGGGCTTCTTTCTTTTTGTAAGATAATATCACACACCTCATCAGCTTTGAAGGTTCACTTGATCAGCATACACTTTTAGGGAGGGAAAAATGCCTCCGTCTAGGTTTCTGGCCACTCCTTGCACGAAGGGGAATAGCTTTTCAAAAATCAAAATCACAATAAGACCGTGGCTGAAAGTTCTAGATGACTTGCTACCATAAATATGATGTGTACATAAAAAAAATTATGATAACTGATGAAGATTCCTAAGCTCCCAATATATCTATTTTTCCTCAACTGTGGAATGGTCAAGTAACCCCACTTATCTAATTTCCTTATTCAACTACTAGAGTAGGTAAGAAGATAAGACACACTGAAACCTAATAGAAGATTCATCCTCGATGGGTTTGCTTAATTTACCTGCCGCTGAAACTGAACCATAACTCTTTCTCAGGTTTGGTGGATTGCTTCCAAAGTAGATTTTAAATTTGCATGGTTAGCAAGCAAGTAATACAAAATCCTACTGCATCAATACTTTAATAATATATGGGTATTTGTATATATTCTCTGATTAGGATAACACATTGAATGGTGATTATCGAGGCTGGAGAGGCATAAAAGTTTTTTTTTTTTTTTATGGTTTACCCCATGAAGGAAATTTTGAAGAGCTGAACACAAAAACAGAAACAGGGTTTAAAAGAAATTAACTATTATAATCTGTTTGTACTTGGATCATTGTTATGGCTATGATAAAATATTATTAAGGTAACACGGATGGAAATGCGTAACAGGTTTCCATGATTTACCCCTTTTATAAAAATTGAAGAGCTACACAAAAGGCAAAAACTGATTTAAAATAAAGTATAACCATATTGTTATTATAAGCTGTTGCTCACAAGTCACAAGCCAAAACAGTGTCCACAGAAAAAAAAATAAAAAAATTTTATTCATATATGTATAGAATAGAAATGACATCTACACTCAATACCCAGGAAATTTATATCTTTATTTATGGTCATCCTTAAATTCAGCAAACAATATGTCAAAAACTAACAGAGAACTGAATATACAGAAGCAGGAACGTACAAGTACAAAGGAATTCTCCCACTGATTACCATGGTTTTAACAATGACAATGGTTACACAATATGCAATCTGCTTTCTCCATTATGTGTACATGCACTGATGCACTTGATAGGCCTTTTGCTAAATGGATACACCTAATCGTTTAATCACATGATTAAAAATAAAAACTCCTGATGCTTTGGTTGAATGTACATACATAAACAAAGAACTATTAGCCCCAGTAAGACCAATCGAACTCTCTTTTGTTCAGCATGGTCAGTCCAAGCAGCAGTACCAGAAGTATTATGAGCGGATGCTTCCTGAAATGCTACTTCACATGACCTGACAAACATAGCGTTTGCAACTGAAATTCTTTTTGGCATAAAAACCATGCTTAGCAACATCGCCATCAAGAACAGTTAAGCTGGCTATATCCAGGTTAGCAACCAAACCCAGTTATCCATTATTTTAATAATCTGCCTTTGGCACGTAACCAACTTGCTTAAGATGATAACCTAATGTATCAATCATATTATATATCCTGCTCGATTGTGGGTGGGATCTACCATGTACAGTGAAGTCATGAAACTCATCATCCACTTCAATAGAACTAGTCCCAGATGGCTTCCGGGTGCCTGTATTTTTCATCTGCAACCTCACCTTAGCAACATCATCCCAGTGGCCAGCTGCAGCATATATATTGGACAAGATAGCATAACTACCAGCATCCGAGGATTCCAGTTTTTGCATGTGTACAACCTCCTCTGCAATATCAACATCATTATGCATCCTGCATGCTCCCAAGAGGGTTCCCCAAATGACAGCATTTGGCTCCATAGGCATGTTCTTCACAAGCTCAAATGCTTCCTTCAAATGCCCCCCTCGTCCAAGAAGGTCAATCATGCAACCATAGTGCTCAACCTGGGGAACAATCCCATAGCCTATTTCCATTATAGAGAAGTAATGTTTACCCTCCTTGACAAGACCTGCATGGGTGCAGGCACACAAGACACCAATAAAAGTGAATCCATCAGGTTTTACACCCTCTTGTTTCATCCTGGAGAAAAGCTCAAGGGCACTTTCACCATGCCCATGCCTGGCTAGTCCTTGGATAATGGCATTCCAAGACACCACATCCCTCTCAAGCATTCCATTGAAAACACTAAGTGCGTTGCTTAAGCTCCCACATTTTGCATACATATCAACCAAGGCATTGCATACTTTTATGCTATATCTCAATCTACTCCTCTCAATTGAGATATGAACCCTTTTACCAAGACCAAGCAAACCGGATTCAGCACAAGCAGCCAAAATACTAATAAAGGTTCCGTCATCAAGCTTCAATCCAGACATCTCCATTTGATCATACAAGTTAAATGCCTTCTTGGCAAGTCCTTTCTCAGCATAACCTGATATCATTATGGTCCAGGAAACCAAATTCTTCACAGGCATCCTATCAAACATCATCTTAGCCATATCCATGTCTCCTGCTTTGCTATAACCCGTTATCATTGTTGACCAAGACACAACATTTCTTTCTGGCATAGTTCCGAAAAACTCAAAAGCTGTATCCATTTCTCCAGCCTTCACATATCCATCCAAAATAGCATTCCAACTCACTGCATCTTTCTCAGGCATTTTGTCAAAAAGTCGGCGAGCTTCTTCCAACTGTCCACCCTTAACCAACCCCGAAATCATGGAATTCCAGGAAACAACATCGCGGTCTGTCATTGCTGCAAACACCTTCCTTGCAGCATCGACACCACAGGCGCCACACTTGGAGTAGGTATCGATAAGTGAATTGGGCACAAAAATGTCGGAATAAAAACCAAATTTTTCAATGTGGGAGTGGATCATTTGAACCTGGCGCAATGCAAATTGGCCTGAACAAGCCTTGAGAAGAAACGAATAGGTGAAGTTGTCAGGGAATACACCATTCTTTTGCATATCAAAGAAGATGGAAAAGGCAAGAAAGGATTGGAAATTCTGGGTGCAGGCTCTGATGAGTGTGTTATAGAGAAGAGTATTGGGTTGCTGAATTTGGTTGAAAACGTTAACTGCTAACATCACCTGGCGAGACGAAGAGAAGGCTTGAATAAGCGTGCGAGCCATAAAAGGATCTTGATGGAGATTGGCTTTGAACATCTGGGCTTGAATTTGCTTCAAATGAATGGGGTTTGAACATTCCGAGAGTTTTTGTTCGAGAAGTCTTCGTTTGGAGACCCATGTGGGAGTTCGAATTGCTGTGGACATTATAGATGTATCTACTGTCACAGAAGTGATAGACATGGAACAGAGAGGTTTTCGCGCATTGTGGAGCAAAGACAAGAGAGCTCTACTATGATAATGCGGGCTAGTGAGAAGAAGGGAAAGAAAGGGAGAGAGCTTTTCTATCTTTGTGATGTAGAAGCAGCAACTCAGTTATCTTCTTCAATCCAGTGAGCAGTGACCAGTTGTGATATCTGATAACACCCGCACACCCCTCTCCCACCTGATAAGGTTTCACCGGACTTGCGTGTCTCGGAACTCGATACGACTCGGTCGTGTTAACTAACTCACGAGGTTCGAACATGTGTCCAGATTTTCGTAAGTGGCTATTTGGAATTTGGACTGAAGTCACTGACCCCTATATTTTGTTTTGCGACAAAAACTCCCTTATATTATGACCGTGAGACAAAAACCCCCCTTTTGTTAGCCTTTTATTAAAATCCACCGTTACAATATTTTTTAATTCTCATACTATCCTTGTATTTGGAAAAAAAAAAACTGTTCATCTTCCTCATCTCACAAGGCAGCGGGCTTCAGTTGAAGTCCTCCCTCTCTCTCTCCTCCCCTTTTTTCCGATTTCCCCTATTTTCCGTTCCTTGCAGATGGAAATGCGAGTGAGACCCTTGTTTCGCCACCTTCCCATCATCGATCACAGCGATGACATGGGCATTCCTTATCGTTGACAGCCGATGTGCAACCACGATTGTTGTCCTCCCCGAACAAGCACGTTCGGGGGCCTACTAGATGCATTTTTCCGACTTGGTATCTAGTTCCAAACGGTTCAGTAGCTTCTCGAAGAACCCTTTTTTGATCCGTTATTGATAGTCTTATAGATAGAATCCACACTCCCTCAATTCTAGCAAATCGAGAGACAGAGACGGAGCTTCTTTAGATGAAAATTTTGAATTTTCTTCTTCCTTGCTCTCATCATCACCTGCTTCATCTTCCTTCTTCACCGTGTTTTCTTTCTTCCCTCTTTGATTCCCAAAATCAATAAACCGATCTAGTCAGTTCTTCTCTGTTTCCTGGTCTCTTCTCCTCCACTAGCGACTAAAATAGGATTGAACCAAGAAAATAGATATGGGCCAGACCCAATACTCCGAGAAATACTTCGACGACACTTACGAATACAGGTATCGAAATTCCTCTCTGGGATCATGAAGAAATCGAATCCAATACGTTTTTCGCGATTTGATTATGGTTAGTTACGCACCAGGATTTCAAAAATTTCTCCGATTGTATCTTTTGTCAGGCATGTGGTTCTTCCTCTTGAAGTGGCCAAACTGCTGCCGAAGAATCGTCTTCTCTCTGAAGTAAATAGGAACGAGAAAAAACGAAGAATCAAATCTAACTGAAGACATGGTTCAAAGAATTCATGAAAAGCATAAAATGAGTGTTGATTTGTATTTTGCTTATCAGAATGAATGGAGGGCGTTCGGGGTTCAGCAGAGTCGAGGATGGGTTCACTACGCGATCCATCGTCCCGAGCCACGCATCATGCTCTTAGGAGGTCATTCAACTACCAACAGCAGCAGGAGAACCAGGCTCAACAGCACATGCTCGCCAAGTGAATGTTAAATTGTTAACCCAGAAAAGCTTCCCCCAGAGGAAGGAAACGAAACCCTTTCCCTTTCCCTGCTTATACAGGATTCCCTGCGTTTAGTTTGGAATCTTTTCGTCTTGAAAAGAGAAAGAAGGAATTAGGATTTCTGATATGAGAGAATATGGTTGTTTTCATTGTAAGGTGGAGTAGGTTTCTTGTCGTCTTTCTCAACTTGGTTTGCAATGAAATTGTTATACTGCGTTCGCTTCATCTACTTCAATTGCTTGGTCTGGATTGATTGATTAGTGAGGGATTAATTGGTCTTGGTTTTTCATTTGCTTTTAATCTATGGTGTTGGCTCTTATTTATTTGAATTGTTCATTACCTTCAAAACGGTGGCAGCAACAACAACAGCAATGAGGACGAGGGACAGTCGCCACTGCAGAATGAACCTAACTGTGCAAGCAACGAGCATGAGGGCTGAATTTTGCATGATAACTGAAATCCTGTCTCCGATTGCTGATCGGACATTGTTGGCATCAAGAGCCAGTCTTGCTGCAATCCTCGCAAGGCTGGGAAGGTGGCAGAAGAAGAGAGAGAGAGGATTTCAACGGAAGTCCGCTACCACTGCAACAGCCACCACCGCAACGGCTATCGCCGCAGCAGTTCGTGATTTCGTGTATCATTGGAGGAAGATGAACAGTATTTTTTCAATTGTCCGGATAAATATTATAAGGGTATTATGGAGATTAAAAAATATTGTAACCAGAAGGTTAACGAAAGGGAGTCTAATCTTTATCGCAAAACAAAATACAGGGGGTCTTTGTATAAACCCATAGTACAGAGGGGTCTTTATAATCTACCGTACAAAATATAAGTATTTTCACTCTATATATTTGTATTTGTACTCCTTTACTTATTTGTATTTGTACTCAGTTTGGAAGGAGTACAAATGCAAATATATAAAATGTAGAATCTTATATTTTGTATGTATTTGCACTATAAGTATTTGCATTTATACTCCTTCCAAACTGAGCATTTGCACCGTACGTATTTGCATTAAATTGATTTCCAAAAATTTTAAGAGGAAAAAAATCAGAAATGAGCAAGCTTAACTTAAGCACCCAACGAATCCCAACGAATCTATGTGTGTTTACAATAAAATCTACTGTTTATCTTTTGTCATATTTGCGACTTTAGAAGGCCCATGACATGACAGTCCTTGCCTCATTGATAGGGGTGTTAGATCGGATTTGGTCCAATCTGATCCAGTCACATATGAGTCTATTACAAATGGACCTGAACCAGTCCAGTTAAATGTCTGGACCGTCCAATCTGTTAAATTTGATTTTAATTAATCCAAACCTGTTTCCATTGACACTTGTACTTTTATCTTCAATCAATAGACTGGATATTGGTTCTATCTGACCCAATCCAATATAAACCCATTATGGATGGATCAGGTCCAATCCAATCTAATAAATAATTTGGACTGATCCAATTCAACATGTTTTATTGGTCCATCCAATTCATTTAAATTGATTTTGATGTAAACAGGGTCCAACCCAAAACCAGTCCATTAACACCCCTATTCATTGATACACTTTTTTTTTTTATCAATAACACTTTCATTAAATCATCAATAGAAGATTTACAAGAGGAAGACAAACACACTTATTTTCCAAGAGCAACAAAGAACCTCAAGAAAAAGAAAAAAAAAAGAAGAAAACACTAAAGTTACAGCTTAGCCCAATACAGTGAATCCCTTTCTGCCCCTTGTTTAGCTAAATCGTCAACTAGGGAATTAGCCGATCTTTTAACCCAACATGTCTTAACTTCCATCTCCCGCACCAGCCACTTGAATTTCCTCCTCTCATTGTTGTACTTCCACAAGCCATTGTGATCTTTAATCAGCCACCCTATCACCACTTCTGAATCCCCTTCAATTATGAGTTTCCTGATGTTCAACTCCTTAGCTTTCCGAACTCCTTCCATAACTGCAAAGATCTCAGTTTTAAGGGAATCACCCACTCCAATTGGGCTTGAGAACATGGCAGAAATGACCCTATTTTCATCCCTAAAAACACCCAATTTCCCCGATTGTCCCGGATTTCCCCTACTACACCCATCAAAGTTTAATTTCAAGAATCCACCAGGTGGAGGGGTCCAAGCCACACTCATTACTGACTTGGTCTGTGCGCAATTTGCAATTTCACCCCACTTCCTCAATATGTCATTCATAGTGTAATCTATGAATAGCTCCAAAGATTTCAGGCACTGTACAACCCTAATATGTATGATAGCCCTCAAATTTACTGCTCCTCTCTCAGCTTCTGAGAATATCCTAGAGTTTCTTTCTTCCCAAAGTGTCCAACATACTGCAACCCTTAATCCTCTCCACATAGTCCTTCCCCTTTTTATACGCCACATGAAAAAAAAAGAAGGGGAAAAAGGCTATTCATTGATACACTTCAAACGCTCTACTTGGCATTGCACAACTTTTCGACTAGCATAAATGGTTGCGTATTCGATTCAATGACGATGAGGGGTCACGCACTTGTTGCAACAGAGAAAGGTAGAGCCATCTCAATCTCCTATGAAAGTCTAGATGTAGATCTAGAACTGGAAGAAGAATTGAGACTTCAGAGCAAAGGGAACTAGGAAAGGTTTCAAGCTTTAAGCTATTGAAAGCATGGATAATATAAAGAAGAAAGTTGGACCCTTGTAAAGCAATCTCAACTCTCAAGAGATATTTTTGAAATAGCTCAACTCTAAAGAAGAAAGTTGTGCTCCAAACCAATTTGCCACTTGAATGACACCTTATTAGCCTTCTCGCCTAACAAACTAAGTTGTTTATATATTGTTTATATTTTATGTTTTCACTAGAATAAAAGAGAGACAGAAAGTTCGGGGAAAGTTCTCAAGGAATTTCATAGAATTTCTAGACAACTTTCTGCCTCTCTGGCTGTCACAGAAAGAAAAGTTTCTATTTCTCTGATTTTCTATCAAACTAGAGACAGCATTTTTTTTTCTTTTTTGGCTTTAAGGGGGCTACACAAGGGAGGAAAGGCCTTACCAACTAGCCAGTTGGCACCTCTAGTTTGTCTCTATCAAACTAGAGACAACATTTTCAATCAATCTCAGATCTCCCCAACAACCAGCCAGAGTCCTTACCAACTAACCAGACCTTGCAAACCAATGAAAATTGATGAGGGCAGATTTGGCCCTCCAATGATATTGTGACACATGGCACATCGAAACAACTAGGTGACACCCGAAACCACTTAGGCAACAACTTGCCTTAGCCAAGTTGATGGTGTCCCACCTAGCGGCCTGGCCCAGGCGCGACCTAGAGGCCTAGTCCTGGCATGACCTGGCCTAGGCGCGAACTAGCGGCCTGGCCCAGGTGCCGACCTGGCGGCCTGGCCCTATCGCGACATGGCAGCCTGGCAGAGGTGCCAACCTAGCGGCCTGGCACAGGTGCCGACCTGGCGACCTACGAGACGTGCTCGCTAACAAATTCGGCATGCATATTGAAACAGTCCCACGATCCTTGGAAGTTGGCCCACGTGCCGAACGATTCGGAGGGTGGTCAATGTGCATGGCGGTTACCTCAGGGAATCTCGGACCACTTAGACGACTTCTCAAAAATCTCGGATGCGGTGCGTGAAACCCATGCCAAACTATGCCTATATAAAGGCACCAACCCCAATGGCATAGGGGGCAAGTAAGCATATTCTATCTCTCATACTTTGTCATTTTTAGCTCACAGTCTACTATGAGAGTACTGACTTAAGCATCGGAACAACCTCGTCAGGTTAACCACCCCAGGTCCTCTGACAAAAATTCCTTGCAAGTCTCTAAAGAACTACGAAGCTCAACAATCAATCCAGCTCGGCACTCTAGTCAGCTCGACACCTAATAGGCAACTCGGCCCTCTGGTCAGATCGGCAACTAATAGGCAATTCGGCACTCTGGTCAACTCGGTACCTAATAGGTAGCTTGGCACTCTCATCAGCTCGTTACCTAACATGCCTAGCTCGACCCAGTCAGCTCATCACCTAACCTGCCTAGCTCGACCCAGTTAGTTCGGCACCTAATCTGCCCAGCTCGGCCCAGTTAACCCGACACCTAATCTGCCCCCAGCTCAGACCAAATGACGAGGTACTTAGCACAAAAAATTGATACATCACCAAAAATTGATTCATCAAATGGCGCCGTCTGTGGGAAACGCTATAAAAAGCTAAACTCTCATCCTCCGAAAGGCTAAATCCTCTTGTTCCAGAAAACTAAGTTCTCACTTTCTAAAAATTAAAAGCTCTCACTTTCTAATTTCCATTTTTTATGAACTCAAAGACTCTGCAAGAAATTGATGACCAACAGACTAAGCAGCTCTACCAACTTTATTTCAACTCGGATAAAGCCCCATCAGTCCACTTCGCGAGGTACCCTCTACAAAGATGAGCTCTTCGTGGCTTCCGCAGGAGTAGGCGGCCAACAGACTGCATGGACGCCCCTGCCGGTCGAGCATTCCAAGGCTCCCGTGAGAGCTGGTGACCTAAAATCAGTAGTGTTGCCCTCGTAGGTCGAGCTCTTAGTAGCTTCTTGTAGGAGTGGGTAACCGACGTCACTAACGAGGCTGATGCAGCGCAGCCGTAGCTCTAAGGTGTCGAGCTGATAAAAGACATCGGCACCACATAACACCCAATTGCCTCTTCGGCATGAGAAAAATCAAAGATCAAGGAGAGTGGACTACGAGTCGCTCCTAGAGCCTAAGGGCTAAAGTGCCGAACTGGCAAAGACTTCGGCACCACATAAGACCCAATCGCCTCTTCGACATGGGCAAAATCAAGGGTAAAGAGAGTAGACTGTGAGTCGCTCCCAAAGCCTAAGGAATTGAATCGACACTTACGAGCTCATAGAATTAGTCATTTCAGGCCAAAAGCAGAAATCCACTCCCTTCGCCGAATTACTTTCAGCTCGGGAGTGGGGGGCAAATGATGAGGGCGGATTTGGCCCTCCAATGATATTGTGACACATGGCACCTCGGAACAACTAGGGGACACCCAGAACCAATTAGGCAACAACTTGCCTTAGCCTAGTTGATGGTGTCCCACTTGGCGGCCTGGCCCTGGCGCAACCTGCCCAAGCGCGAACTAGCGGCCTGGCCAAGGCGCGACCTGGCGGCCTAGCACAGGTGCCGACATGGCGACCTGCGAGACGTGCTTGCCGACAAATTCGGCATGCATATACAGACGTGCTCGCCGATAAATTCAGGATGCAAATCCAAACACTCCCACGATCCTTGGAAGTTGGCCACGTGCCGAACGATCAAGAAGGTGGTCAACGTGCATGGCGGTTACCTCAGGGAATCTCAGACCACTTAGACGACTTCTCAGAAATCTCGAACGCGGTGCGTGAAGCCCACGCCAAACTATGCCTATATAAAGGCACCAACCCCATTGGCATAGGGGGGCAAGTAAGCATATTCTAGTTCTCATACTTTGTCATTTTTAGCTCGCAGTCTACTATGAGAGTACTGACTTAAGCATCGGAGCAACCTCGCCGGGTTAGCCACCCCGGATCCTCTGACATTGATTCCTTGCAGGTCTCTAAAGAACTACAAAGCTCAACAATCAATCCAGCTCGCCACTCTGGTCGGCACCTAATAGGCAGCTCGGCACTCTGGTCAGCTCGCCACCTAATAGGCAGCTCAGCACCTAATAGGCAGTTCGGCACTCTGGTCAGCACGTCACCTAACCTGCCAGGCTCGGCCCAATCAACTCGTCACCTAACTTGCTTAGCTCGGCCCAGTCAATTCGGCACCTAACGTGCCCAGCTCAAACCAATTAACTCGGCACCTAATCTACCCCCAGCTCAGACCAAATGACGAGGTAC